CTACACCCAGGACCCCGTTCCAAACCTGGCAACCTGCCAGGGCCCTCCCAGGGCTGCCCCACGAGAGTGGCCGACGGGCCCACTCCAGAGGGCCTGGAACCTCGTCCCAGGGGGCACCCTGTGCCTCTCCTTGCTCACATCCCAGGGGCCTGGGGGCTCTCGGGTGAGCTGCGAACCTCCTTCGTCCTGGGGGTTCCTGGGTTTCCCACTGACTATATCTGTGCTGCCCCCCTCAGCCCGAACATGAGTCAACTGTTCATGGGACTAAGGTCCCCAGGCGCAGGGCTCCCTGGACAGGCGTGAGGAGGAAGTGGAGAAAGCGCACGGCACAAGTGGAACCAGCTCCAAACACCAGCTGGAGCACTCCCCAGGCCACACTCCTTCCTGAGGACGCTGACCAACCGGCCACAGGCCAGCGGCTTCCCCAGTGAGCACTCACCCCCCTCCTCGGCACAGTCGGGCCCCTGCCCACAGCCCGCTGTGTGTCTTGAGTGTCCCCACATGTGTCTGAACCGTGGTGTGTTCCTCTGACAGGTAGGGTGGCTGGCGGTCAGCCTGTTAGGGTGCCCATGGGGAACACGGGAGGAGACTTAGAGGGGCTCCCCTGGCACTGGGTGCTGCAGAAAGGACTGCCAGCCAAGCTGGGCCACTTTGGGGCTATTACTTCTCTGAACCTGATGAAAAGCCTTTAGCTTCACCTGTTAGTGGCCTCAATTTGGAAAAGCACAAGGAAAGCAGCCTTGGGAACAGAGGCTCGCGACTCCCTGTGGCTGGGCCTGGTCCTTGTCCTCACTGAGGCCACATGAGGAACCTCTGGGGGCAGCAGAAGGGTACCTGGACAGGTTCTGGGGGGACTTCCTTCAGCAACAATAGGTGTGCAGCACCCACTTTGTGCAGGCCCTTTGGGGACACTTAGCATAACTGAGTGAAGGAAGCAGACATAATACTGGGACCCCGTCCCAGGAGGAGTCAGGCAGTCACTTCAGGCTTCATCCGCAGGTCATGGCCGGGGAGCGTCATGGGCGATGCCCTCACGGCCTCCTCATGTGATGGGGGGCGTGATGAGGGCCCAGAGGAGGAACTGAAAATGTGAGTTTTCACTGGGACCAGAGGCGGCACTGCCCGTGTGCACAGAATGGGCGGAGGAGGCATTTGGGACTTGGGGCGGGGGCGACCAGTAGGTCACCCAGCTCTGGATTCCCACAGGCGGGCTGACGACTGGGGACTTCCTACTTGGGAGGATGGGAGAGGATAGGGTCTCAGGACAGACACACAGGGTCAGGAAGAGAGAGGGGCAGGTGTCTGGACAGGCTGGGGAGTGCAGAACGGCTGGAAAGACCAGGCTTCTCACTCTGCCACCCCTAGGTCTTCCCGCAACACCAGGATGGGACGGGCTAGGCGCCTTGCCTGGGAGCCCAAGAGTGTACCCAGGGTCCACCACGACAGCCAGCCTTCATCCACCCTGGAGGACCAAGTCCTCCACCACTTGGGCCAGAAGGAGCACCTGAGGCCCACGGTGGCAGAGCTGCAAGGTGAGAGGCTGCAGCCAGGGGACTGTCTAGGGTGGGCTTCCCAGACTGGGGTTCCCTTCAAGGCAGTGAGGCGCGGAGAATCGGGCCCGGGGTGACGCTTCCTCTGTGTCCTACTCCAGAACCACGGCAGATGCAGCTGGCTCCAGAGACACAGGGAGGGCCCGCTTTGTGTCAAGAGCCCATCCCAGAGCTCCCTGAGACCCCTGTGCTGGAGCTACGGCCGGTGTCACCTGCTTCAGCCCCTGCAGAGCCGGAGGATGACCAAGCAGTGGCCTCAGCCCCGGTGCCAGGCCCCAAGCTGGAGCCCCATAAACCCTCAGGCGTGGGGCCCAGAGCACCTGTCGGAATGGCACTGGGCCTGGCAGAGCCAGAGGCGGGCCTAGACCCCACCAGACCCTGTGCTATGAGCCCCTGGGACATCCCAGGAGTGGTCTCAGGCTCCGAGCTGGAGCCCCTTGAGCCCTTGGGTCCAGGGTGCATAGCACCTACCGGAATGCCACCAGGCACGGCAGAGCCAGAGGCAGGGCCAGCGTGCTCCAGCCCCTGTGCTGGGAGCACCCCCTGTATCGTGACGGAGGAGCCACTCACCATCCTGCAGTTCCCCCACTGCCTGGTGGCCGAGCAGCTGACCCTGATCTGTGCGGTGAGCGGAGCGGGCTCTCGGGGTCAGGGGTGGGCCTTCCCTGTGTCACGGGCTACCCCAGACCTGCCGTCCCCTGACGTGGATTCCTGTGATGTGGGCCCACATCCCACCTTCGCCAGGGACTCACCCTGTGCCCTGAGAGACCCTCACCACGCCCAAGACTGCACTGACCACACGGGGACAGTAGGGCTGGCCCTTAGGGGTCCTTGCAGACCAATAAGGAGGAGTGGAGGGAAGCTGGGCAGGGCCTGGCTGGGCTGGGAGGGGCAGGGCAGGGGAGGGGTGCTCAGGGAGGTGCTGCCAGGGCCTTAGGTCCTCGGGCCATTGGCCTGGCAGGCCTCCACAGCCTCCACAGCCTCCACACTTGAGAGGCCCCTGCCATGGACCTGACTGCGTGGGAGACACAGACACCACCAAAGGCCCTGGGTGGAGTTGTTTTGGGGGAAACTGCACCTGAGTGGGGAGCGGGATCCACGGGGTGGCAGCATGGGAGGCAGATGCCCCAGGATGGGCAGGCGTGAGCTGCCTTGTGCCTCAGGGAGGACGTGAGTGAGGGGGCCTGTGAGCAAAGCCCCTCTGTGCCCCATCACTGTGGGGTCCTGTGCATCTGGTCCTGGGCGCCTCAGTGGGCGGGCTCCAAAGCCCGGATGGCCACAAGGCTCAAAGCACACCCCCAGCTGCCTGGGCTCCAGTCCCGACCGGTGGCTGCCTGGCACAGGGGCACCAGGGGCACTGCTGGATGACACCCCTTGTCATCCCCAGGAGCTGTTCACCAAGGCCAGCCATTATGAATGCGAGGCCTACGTTGCATACAAGCCACAGATGGGAAGAAGGTACCAGCCAGAGAAGGCAAGCATTGAGCACGTGGCCCCCACCATCCATAAGGTCATGAAGCAGTTTGAAGCCACGGTTAGGTTGGTCACCACCACCTGCCTCGGGACCCCGAGCATGATGGCCCGGGACAGGGCCCGAGTGGTGGAGTTCTGGATCCAGGTGGCCAAGGTGAGTCATGGGATGGCCCCCGGGTTCCATCCTGGCGTCTTGGGACCTGCTCCCCACCTTTGCCAACTCTCATGATGAATGCCTGCAATCTGCCCTGCACGGTCCCTGGGACCTCCTGCCAGGGGCGTGCGGACTTGGACTCGCAGGCCCCAGGGAGGGGACAGCCATCCCTGGCCCTTTCCTTGGGTTGAGCTACAGTCCTCCACCCAGGAGGGCTACTCAGAAGGAACCAGGTGTGCTGGGCTCCCTGGGTGTCTGTCTCCTTAAGGACAGGAGTTCATGGGGGGATAGAGCACAGAAGCAGGCCACGCTCTCAGCTCTGTCTTCCCTCCCAGGACTGTAAGACCTTCCTGAATTTTGCATCCTTCCACGGCATTCTCTTGGCCCTGCAGTGCCCTCCTGTAGGTCGTCTTCAAAGCACCTGGGGACATGTTTCCTGGTGGGTAGTACTGTCCCCGGGACCAGGGTACCTGAGTGGACAGGGATACCCCCAGGTCTGGCAGTGTCCCCTCAGTCGGCTAGGACTTCCTGGGAGGCAGCAGAGCCTAGGGACAGGGATGGCGGGCTCTTGGGGCCCCCTGTGGGTTAGGCCACGGGTACCCCTGCAGGAATCAGTTTCCTGCAATGTCAGGTGTGGGTTGAAGCCCACTGGAGATCTTGAGCTTGTGCTCTGCAGCAGGAGGTCTCTGCCCCAAGGACAGCGACCTGGCCCAAAGCAGATTCGCCCCCAGGAGAACTGGGAATGGAGGCCCAGGGTGGAAACATGCAGTCCCCTCCCCAGGCCACGGATTCCCCAGGGCTCAGGGCTGTGGTGGAAAGCCTCATGCAGGCTAGTTGATATCTGGGGTCTCCAGGAAAACGGGTCTGCCCCCAGACTCCCCACCTGCTGGCCACATGTCCCCTCCTCCTCTCCCCGCCCCTTAGGAAGAGCTCCTACATGTTTAAAAAACTTAAAAAGATGGACAAGAAGGCTGATCGGCGGTGGTTCCATGAGGTAAATGGAGGCTAGAGGTCTGGAAGGGAGGGGTCCTTGTGGCAAGTCCTCTGCCATGCTGCGGCCCAGCCTTGGGCAGTCTCGAGGTGTGCGGGGTGAGAGGCGGGAGTTGATGGGGGAAGTAGGGTCCCCAGGCCCCCAAGGGCCTCGTCTGTATCCCTCCCTGGCCCTACTTGACTGGGGTCCTGGCATCCAGTGAGGACCCAGAGGACAGGCCCCTGGTAAGGGCTGAGGCTGGCGCTGGGTCGGCCGTGTCTGAGCAAAGTCGGCCGCTCCCTGGGTCCTCTGAGACCGCTATCCTGGGGTGCGGGCCTGCCAGGTGAGCAGGGTCCAGGGAGCACAAGATGGGCTTCAGCTTGGTGCCCATCCCACCTTGTCGTGTGAGGGGAGCCGTGCTGATAGCCGGGTGACAGTGGGTGCTCAGGGCACCCTGGGAGGCAGAGGGACCTCCCCTGACCCTCTCAGGGCGGCTGGCCACGGCCCAAGGACTCCCATGAGTATGTGTGTGCTGGAGCTGGGGTCGCTCTAGGCTGAGAGCCTGCTGGAGGTGGGGACAGCGTAGGTGCCAGGGGGCTCGGGCAAGGCATCCATCCACCACGGTCTGGCTGTGGGAGGCACGTGGGAGGGGAGCAGGAGCACCTGAGTGTCGTGCACCTTGCAGGAGGCGAAGTACCTGTTGATGCGATGGCAGGGGGACCAGAGGACACCCCATTACCAGGAGAATCAGGTGAGAGTGGTGTGGCCTGTTGCCACCAGCCCTGAGCTGCCAGCACTGGGGTGACCAGGAGGAGGGCGAGAGCAGCTGGGTACGGGGAGAAGTTGGAGGGCAGGTGCAGGGACCACAGGTCCTGGGATTGGCCGAAAGCCAGCCCTGGGAGGGACCGGGAGAGGAGCACAGGGTGAAGGGAGGGGAGGGAGGCAGCACAGGGTGGTCCAAGGGAGCTGGGGGCTGTGGGTGTGGGGTTCAGGGGAGGCTCTGTGGGCACCCCTAAGGTAGGCGGGGACTCATCACCTCCCCACCCCCGTGGCACAGGGCATGGTCCCCTTCCTTGGATATATTCTGGATGACGTGCCCATGGACCAACTCCCAGAACATGATGATGAAGTAAGTGAGCCCAGCGGGGCACAGGGGGGCAGGATGGTGAGGTCTGGGGAGGAGAGAGCCTCCAGTGAGCCTATACCTCTCAGCACCCGGACACCTCGACTTCTGAGAGTCTCCCTCCACCCCAGGACCTGGACATCTAGGAGAGGACCCACTTAAGCCCCGGTCCTGGCCCCAGGGCAGGCTGGGCTGAGGGCTAGAGGGGCAGCATCTGGGCAGGACTGGCCGCCTCCTCAGGCCCTGCCCAGGGGGAGGGATGCTGCTCCTTCAGGGCAGGAAGCACATCAGGGGGCTGGCAGTGCCTTCCCTCCTGAGGCCCCAGTCTTCCTGTCTGCCATCACGGAGAGTTGCATGGGAAGCTTGGCCTCAGATCTCCAGTCCACTCTCCACCTCTCGGTAGCCCCGATCCCGGGCCAGGTCCGGGTGCTCTTTCTGGGCAGGCCTGCCCCTTGGAGGGCCCTGGAGGTCCTCCACCTTGAGAAAGGGTGGGGACGTTCCGGCCTCGTTCTGGGCTCAGGGGGCTGTTTCCGATGCACTTTGGCTGCCTTGCTGCCTTCCAGGGTGATGGTATAAAATAAGAGTTGAGTGCCCAGCCATGAAAGGTGAGGGACGGAGTCAGGAACCCCTGGGCAGGACCTTGTCCACCCCATACCCTGGGTCTAACGTGTGTTGAGAGAGATAAGCCACACAGAGCTGAGGACACTAAAGGCTTTGCCAGGTGGGGGATGGGTGTGGCATCAAGGCCGCCTTCCTGGAGGAGGAGCTGGAGACCCAACAGTGGGAACAGGCAGGACTGGATGGCATTGGAGGGAAGGCAGGTTCCTGTGTGAGCAAAGATCCCGTACCATCTCAGTGCCCCCACTCCTCACCCCCCTCCTCATCTGCATCCTGTCCTTCCTCTGCCCCAGGTCATCTCCATCCTAGACGAGATCGGGATTCAAAGGCGCGTGGCCAGGCAGTACGACCTGGAGCCCGATGAGCGCTTCCAGTCCTTTCTCCAGGCCATGGAGCCCCTGGATGAGGAGCAGAGGTGAGGCCGGCAGGAGTCAGGCGTGGGCTGCAGCTGCCCGCAGGCTCTGGGAGAAGGGACCCTGACGTGTGGCTCCAGGGACTCACAGGTGTCCCTCTGTCCTGCAGCTACACCCTGTCATGCCAGCTGGAGCCCCCAGGCCAGAGGACCAGCAGAAAGGGGCTCTTACAGTTCTTCAGGTGCCACAAGATATAAACGTCCTGGCCAGGGCCAGGTGAGTTTCTGGGCTGGGGCGAATGGCAGAGGGTGGGCTGTTCCTCAGCCTCAGGGAAGCTTCGGGCCACATTGGGTGTTGGGGCGTCCTAAAGACAGGTGGGTGGGTCTGGGATCCCAGCTCCACGGCCACTCAGTGCTGTCAGACTAAAGGGTGGTTCCCCTCCCCCTCTGGGACCCAGCCTCCTCTGTGAGTAGGTGACGCTCAGGAGCCTTCCCGTGACAGGGACCCCCCGGGTGGTGGTGATTGACAGGACCCTCCATACAGGGCCAGGAGCCCAGAGGGCAGTGGGGACGGGGTGGAAGCAGGATAACGGGGGGAACCCGGGATAACCTGCCTCTTCTGTTCACCTGTGTGGCCCTGCAGCTGCCGTCCTCGGGCCCGCAGCCCTGGTGGTGCCCTGGCTGCGTGCGGACGAGAGCTCCCCCTTCGGGCAGGCGGCACCTGGCACTCCCAGACCCTAGTCTGCTTCCTGCTCCTCTTCCTCCCCCTGCTCATCCTCAGCCTCTGCCGGGGCAGCTGCTCTGGCACCTCCTCTGTCGGCAGACACGGGCAGCTCCCCAGGCTGCCGCTGCATCCTCAAGGACCCGTATGTAGCTGCAGCCAATCTGGCCTCCTCCATGCAGTGTCATCCCCTGTGCTCATGGCCCACTGGACAGAGGCGAGCTTCCCCCCACGCACAGGGTGTCACCATTTGTGCATGTGGCCTCCCGTGTTGTCAACACCACCTGCTACCTGGGTGCCGTCAGCCACCGAGTTGTAGCCACACAGTTCCAGGAAAAGGTGGGGCCGTCCTCACCAGGTCTGGACATTCCCAGGATGGACACAGACACGGCGCAGTGCTGCGTGGAACCACTGCCTCTTGGGTGCCCAGAGGAGGCATCTGAGGATGCAGGGGTGGCCGGCCGCCGCAGGTTCCCAGGGCATGCTCCCAGGGGCGTCCCCTGTACAACTGCCACCCCTCATCCCTGAGGAATAGCCTCCCTAGGGATTAAAGACGGTGGTGTGAGAGGTGAGACAGAGACCTCCTTCCAAAACCACATATAATTAAAAAATATAATGAATACAACTCAGCCTGAAAGAGTAACAGAACGCTGCACCAGACTGCATACACCTAGAGAAAAGAGCAGTCCTCACGGAACAGGGTAACGTACCAAAGCTGTGACCCGGCGGGACTCGAGCCCTTCCCCCACCCCAGTGCATCGGCGGGAGACCAGAGACGGAGTGGAGGCCTGGCACTGCTAAACACCTAGCCCTGGAGATGTCTTTGGAGCACAAACCTACATTGCATGGTGCTCTGGTGATTAGTGGGGCTGGAATACCTGGAGAGATGGAGATTCCAGCTGCTTGTGGAGAACAGGGATTCATATCCGGCTGATCTGGGCAGGCAGTCTGAAAGACTTCCTAAAAGCAAGAGGGCTGCTAAAGGGGCAAGGATTGCACAGAGCTTACTGCTCAGGAGAAAGGACAGGTAGGCAAAATTGGGCGGGTGCACTCTGCCCAGCAGGTTGGGAACTTAAATGATCTTCAGGCGCTACATCCACCTGGCTGGCTACACAGCTCCAAGGACCCCCACGCTGATATGCAGCCTGCTGTGTCTTCCTCCTGGCTAGCCTATACCTGGCTCACAAACCGGCTGCCCCTGCCCTGGCATCAGGCCAGCCAGAGGGACGTCCTGCCTAAAGCAGCTACAAACACAAAGCATAGAGGCTTACACCTGTGTGTCCGGCCACTGGTTCTGGCAGTGGACACAGGCATAGCAGCCTGGAAACAGGAAAACAGCTCTTTCCTCCCCCCAGGCACCAGCACCACTCCCCTGCGACCCCCCGCCACATACAAATATGAAACGTCAAAAGAACCTCATTCAAAGCAAACTCAACACCAGAGAAAGGATCGAGTGAGACTGAATTAATAAATCTTCCCGAAAGAGATTTCAAAATAAAAATCATAAACATGTGCATTAGGTACAGAAAAATATTCAACAACTCAGCAACGAATTTAGGATGGAGATCCAATCGTTGAAGAGCACAACAGAGCGTATTAAAAGCAGGTTGGATACGGTGGAGGAGATGATAAATCAAAGAGAAATTAGGGAAGGGAAATACAAAGAAGCTGAGGAACAGAGAGAAAAAAGGATCTCTAGGAATGAGAGAATACTGAGAGAAATGTGTGACCAATCCAAAAGGAACAATATTCATATTACAGGGGTAGCAGAAGAAGAAGAAGAGAGAAAAACGGGTGGAAAGTGTCTTTCAGGAAGTAATTACTGAACACTTCCCCAATCTCAGGAAGGACATAGTCTCTGAGGCCATGGTAATGCACAGATCTCCCAACACAAGGGACCCAAGGAGTATAACACCAAGACATATAATAATTAAAATGGCAAAGATCAAGGATGACGACAGACTCTTAAAAGCAGACAGAGAGAGAAATCAGATCACATACAAAGGAAAACCCATCAGGCTATCATCAGACTTCTCAGCAGAAACCTTACACGCCAGAAGGGTGTGGCATGGTATATTTAATGGAATGAAGCAGAAGGGCCTCGATCCAAGAATACTTGATCCGGCAAGATTATCATGTAAACTTGAAGGAGGGATTAAACAATTTTCGAATAAGCAAAAGCTGAGAGAATTTAGCTCCCACAAACCATCCCAACAGTGTATTTTGGAGGGACTGCTATAGATGGAAGTGTTCTCAGGGTTAAATAACTGTCACCAGAGGTAATAAAAAGGGATGGACAGAGAGTCCAGAATATGATACATAACATATAAAGAATGGAGAAGAAAAAAAGGGAGGAAAAAAAGACCTTTATATTGTGTTTGTCATAGCACAATAAGTGAGTTAAGTTAGGCTCTTAGTAAGGAAGTTACCCTTGAACCTTTGGTAACCACAAACCTAAAGCCTGCAATGGCAATGAGGACATATCTATGGATAACCACCCTAAATGTAAATGGTCTGAATGCACCAATCAAAAGATACAGAGTCAATGAATGGATAAAAAAACAAGACCCAACTATATGCTGCCTACAAGAGACTCACTTCAAACCCAAAGACATACAAAGACTAAAAGTGAAGGGATGGAAAAAGATATTTCAAGCAACTAACAGGGAGAAAAAAGCAGGGGTTGCAGTACTTTTATCAGACAAAATACACTTCAAAACAAAGAAAGCCACAAGAGACAAAGAAGGACATTACGTGATGATAAAGGGGTCAATCCAACAAGAGGATATACGCATCATAAATATCTATGCACCCAACACAGTATCACTTACATATGTGAAACAAATACTAACAGAATTCAAAGGGGAACTAGAATGCAATGCATTCATTATAGGAGACTTCAACAGTCCACTCACTCCAAAGGACAGATCAGCCAGACAGAACATAAGGAGACAGAGGCACTGAACAACACATTAGAAGAGATGGACCTACTGAACATCTACAGAACTCTCCACCCAAAAGAAACAGGATAGACATTATTCTCAAGTGCACATGGAACATTTTCAAGAACAGAGCATATACTAGGCCACAAAAAGAGCCTCAGTAAATTCAAAAAGACTGAAATTGTACCAACCAGCTTCTCAGACAACAAGGGTATGAAACTAGAAATAAATTACACAAAGCAAATGAAAAAGCCTACAGACACATGGAGACTTAACAACATGCTTCTAAATAATCAACGGATCAATGACCAAATAAAAACAGAGATCAACCAATATATGGAGACAAGTGACAACAATAATTCAA